TTTTTTTGAGACAGAGTCTTGCTCTGTTGCCTGGGCTAGAGTGCCATGGCATCACCCTAGCTCACAGCAACCTGAAACTCCTGGGCTCAGGCGACCCTTCTGCCTCAGCCTCCCGAATAGCTGGGACTATAGGTGTGTACCACCTATGCCTGGCTAATTTTTTTCTATTTTCAGTTGCCCAGCTAATTTTTTTTTTTTCCATTTTTAGTAGAGACGGGGACTTGCTTTTGCTTAGGCTGGTCTCTAAATCCTGAGCTCAAACAATCCTCCTGTCTTGGCCTCCCAGAGTGCTAGTATTACAGGCGTGAGCTACCGCAACTGGCCCAGTTTTTGTATTTTATAGCTCATTGACTTAGAGTTTGATAGTGTACTAAAAGTCATCTTTAGTGAGCTCTGAAATTTTTAGATCCATTTTTATCTAAATAATTAAAACTATCTGACAGGACCATGAAATGCTTGTTACCATTTCAAACAACATATAATTGTGAACGAGATTCTTTGGTAAGAATATTAAATTGGAAAAAAACTATCATTCTGTAAAATAGCTGATAATGTTAGTTTTATTCTTTAATATATTTTTTTAAACTTTCAGCATTGATGCTGATGGGACAATGACGGTGGACTGGAATGAATGGAGAGACTACTTCTTATTTAATCCTGTTACAGACATTGAGGAAATTATTCGTTTCTGGAAACATTCTACTGTAAGTAGTGTGCTTTTATGTTTTTATACTTACTTGGTGCTATAAGCAATAAGGGTATTTAAAACCCAAGAACACTCTAACACTTATAGGCCAGGATGCCTAAGTTCCAATAGTTCCTTAGCACACTATAGAGTTCTGTTTATCCTATTAGGCATAGATTTATAGCATCTTAAAAAACCCAAAACTGCATAATCAGCCATTCTCAAAAGTTGAAAGAAATACAACCTTGATGAATAAACTGTCCAAGTTTATTGATGTGTAAGCATTCTGCCATAGGGAAGTATAAAAGTCATAGGCTTTTGCTTTTTGTAGATACTGTATTGTCTGAATAGCTCAACACTCAGGATTGCTAAGGATCTGTTTCCTTGGCCATTGATGATATGACCAAAGGTCCCTTCTGAAAGTTTTGTTTGTTTAGTCAAACTGCCTAGGTTCGTCTCTCGTGTAAGGAACTTATAATAATCATTAAAGATTACAAAATCTTTCTGGCTCATCTGCTCAGCATTTCACATCAATTTGTATTCCACAAACTTTCAAATTTTGATTACATTTCATTAATATACTGCTCAAATATACTGGTATAAATCAAGTTCTATTATTGTGCAATAGGCTCCTGAAACCATTGGGAGCTCCCTTAAGGAATTTTCTTTTCCTAATGGGCTTGCCTTCTATACTTATTCATGGATCTCATTAAATTTAACATGCACTAAATGAAGCCTGGAGTTCCCATTGCAGCTAGTACAATGCCTAAGCTTACATAGAGCATTATAAAATTGGTGATTAATGCTTTTTCAACTATGAGTACAAAATTATGCTATATTAGTAGTGTAGTTGCCTAGATAAATTTTATACTTATGTGTGGTTTTATAGACTTGATTCTTTTTGTGTCTTTGAAGATAATTGATAACACTTGAGGCTACAATCATATGTCTATTGTATTGATGACAAAATGAAGGAAGAGAGGGTAACTACCACAGCATACCTGCTTACCCTTACACTCTCACTTGTAAAATCTTTTATGTGAAAATCGTTTAGATAATAAAGTTGTAAAAATGTTATCATTGTAGATAATATTTCTCTCAAGCTTTATTTATGAATCTATAGTAATGTTTCTCTCCAGCTATATTTGTAATCTATAGTAATGTGTAGAATAGATGGGAGGCGTGATTATTTCAAACAATAACTTCCTGTTGGCTAAATTTTATATAGAATCAATTCATGTTTTACATGACAAGTCAGATTTATCAAAATATTTATAGACAGGCAATATAGAAATGAGGATATCAACATATATAGTTTTAATTTAATTTTTGTTTACCTGTTTAAAGCATATTTCATGGTATAAAGTATAATGTACGTAAAATTTTGAGATAAAGAGAATATCATTGAAAAATTGACAGACTAATTTCTTAAGATGTCATCACCAGTTGGATGTGGTTTTCTAACCTTATGAAAAGTGACCATCTAAAAAGGATTCACTAAACTTGATAAAATGCTGCCGTTTCATTCTGACTTAGACCAAGAGGAGAAAAGTTACTCTGAATGTATTAAGAAAGTTGTAATTGTTGGTTTTGTAAATTTGTAATTACTGTCAATTTTCATTTCTCGTGAACTGATACTATAGTGTGAATAGAGTATTTATAATCTGTGTGCTCAAATTTGTTCAGTATAAATTCTAAGGAGTAAAGTTGATCTTGACTGTAAAATAAGACATGATTTTTCTCTAAAAACAAATTTAAAAAACCCTTCTGTTATTATCTGTTTTTAATTAAAGGAGCATGGGACTCTTTTTTACATTTTCAGGGCATTGACATAGGGGATAGTTTAACTATTCCAGATGAGTTCACAGAAGAGGAAAAAAAGTCTGGACAGTGGTGGAGGCAGCTTTTGGCAGGAGGTGTTGCCGGTGCCATCTCTCGGACAAGCACTGCCCCTTTGGATCGCCTGAAAATCATGATGCAGGTGAGCTGTATGTTCATGTGTCTAAGTTTGTCTCAAATAGTCCAAAAGAACGAGAAACGTGTTGCATTGAAAAAGAAGTTTTAAGACTTCTCAGTAATAGTCTTCCATACCTTTAAAAAAAAAAATTCTGTTTTGTTGCCGTTAACCTTGAATTCAGTTCATGTAAGTATTGCAACAAAGTTTGTTGTACCAAACTTTACATTGTTGGTGTAAGTATGTAATGAACTTTTAAACTTTGGCATTCTGTGACTATTCAAATGTTTAATTTAAAAAATCTCTAGCCATTATTGTAGGGTTTTCCTTCTTATTTTTGTGCTTGATCAAAAGTAGGGTATTTCTGAAACCTAGAATCTTAGAAAAAGGAGGTAATTTTTAAAATTATTCTGAAGCTGAGGTTAGCAGAAAAAGATTTGGGTTTATAGACTGACTTTGCTATTTACTAGCAGGGTAGCCTTGGGCTGGCCAGAGTAGAAAGAGAGAAAATAAAAGAATTAGTATTTATTTGGCGCTCATTATGGTAACCTGTTAATCCTCACAGTAGCCCAATGAAGTACGTTTTTATCCTCATTTCATGGGGAACCTGACGCTCAGAGAATTGAAGACCTTTTTTATTTTTTGGTTTTTTTTTTTTTTTTTGCTTGTTTTGTTTTTACAACAAATTAGATGAGGAATGGAATATCTTTGCCTCCAAAGCTTGTGATTCCCACACTGCATGAAACCTCTGAGTTCTAGTTTTCTTTCATTTGGGAATGGGAAAAACAATATCTAACAAGATATTCTTGTTCAAGATACAAAAGTTGTAAGAATTAAACAATATAAGGTATATGAAAATGCCTGATACACTGGAATAATCTACCAAAACACAGTAGTTGTTTAAAAAATGCTTTTAGAAGTTTGTTTGTTATAACTATGCTGAACACTTTTTATATTTGTTAGATTTCTGTAGAAAAATATTTCTGACAGTATTTTAAGCTAGTATCCATTCAGAATGTATCCAAATCTCAAACCTTATTTAGGGGCAGAGATAGTGCTTTAAGGAAGAAGGGAGGGGAACTGGGATGTGTGTGTATGGTTTTTTTTTCTTTAGGAACAATAGTAATTGAGAGAGCTTGAATAAGCATTCATCTTTTACTTTGTCATATTTTATTGTGAAGTTTATTTACTTGAAGTAGATTTCTCTGGGACTCAGTTTATGCAAATTTAGGGGTTCCCAAAGTCACCTTCAGGTTCACTAGAGGGACTCACAGAACTCACTGAAAGTTGTTATACTCACAGTAATAGTTTATTACAGGGAAAAGTGATAGATTAAAATGAGTCAAGTGAAAATACGCATAGGGCTGAGTCTGAGGAAGTACCAAAGGCAGAGCTTCTGTTGTCCTCTCTCCGTGGAGTCTTATGCGTTACTTTCCTGGCACTGTTGTGTGATGATATGTACAGAATACTGAAAACCAACCAGGGAAGCTCACCCAGCCTTTGGTGTCCAGAGTTCTTACTGGGGCTCGATCACACACTGACCATATGGCTGACCCTCGGTCTGCATCCCCTTACATCTTGTGTATGAGGATTTGTTTTGTTTTTGTTTTTTGATGGTAGTCATTCATTTTATGTCAGCTACAACACTCAGTAGAATAGCTGATTTCTTAATTATTTTTTGGTTGATTAGATTTAATCAGTTTTTTTAGTAGGCATTCGTAAGGTCTAGAGTATTTAAATGACTACCACATCTGTAGTATAAGCTGAGTAATTCATTAGCACTCACTGGATTAGACAGTTGGTACATGTTGTCATGAATTTATTGCCCAGAGGAGCCTCGAGATATGCTACAGAAGTTACAATTTTTATTTTTGGTTTCAGGCTGTGTGCACTCCAGCGTCCATGGCTCTGAGATATGCACAATATCCAAACCATTTTCACACACATTTACAGTTCATGTCTGTACTACCTCTTGAAGGGAAGGAGTAATTTACTTGGAGTGTGCTGCTTTTTTATTTCTCTTAAACTGGACTTGTTCACATTTCAAAGGGTGTTCCATAGCCTAATACATAATTTGGTTCATGTTATCTGAATATTGAATATTATTCATAATAATTTTAGTTTTCTTATGTCCTCTCTATCTTCTTTCCTGTCTTTTTTTTTTTTTTTTTTTTTTTTTGAGAAACGTCTCGCTTTGTTGCCTAGGTAGAGTGAGTGCCGTGGGTCAGCCTAGCTGCCACGGCAACCTCGAAATTCCTGGGCTCAACGCGATCCTCCTCCTCAGACCTCCCAAGTAGCTGGGACTACAGGCACGTGGCCACCCATGCTGTTCTAATTTTTTTTATTTTTTTAGTTTTTTGGCTAAATTCTATTTATAGTAGAGATGGTATTGCTCTTGCTCAGGCTGGTCTCGAACTCTGAGCTCAAGCAATCCTCCTGCCTTGGCCTCCCAGAGTGCTAGGATTACAGGGCTAGCACCTACCTGGATCATTCTTAGATTACCAATTAATTTTAGATTCAGATATAGATTCTAAAATGGTGATGATACTCTCTCCCAGCTATATATTTCTCAACCTTCTATATTTTATTTTTAAGTATATCTTCTTGCAGTCTAAACAGTACTGAAAAGACATTGGTTGTTTTAGAAATAGTAAAATAACATGCTACTGGTTTTTATATCATTTTGCTTTTATTTTTTTTAGGTTCATGGTTCAAATCAGGCAAAATGAACATATTTGGTGGCTTTCGACAGATGGTAAAAGAAGGAGGTATCCGTTCCCTTTGGAGAGGAAATGGTACAAATGTCATTAAATTGCTCCCGAGACACTGTTAAGTTCTGGCATATGAACAGGTAATTGTTATCACCTGCAGAATTTATTAACAAAGAGGAGTTAGAAAACTGATTCAATAAGATTAGCTTATAATGCTTTGGATTCTTTAATATTGATAATTTTTTTTACATATCTCAATGAGGAATTTCTTACAGGAGATTAGACTAGATAAACTCAGATCCTCATGACTAAGTTCTGGGATTCTGAATTTTATAATATATTATATATAATGAGTGGAGATGGCACATCGGGGATGGTCATGCTGGAGACTCAGACTTGTGGGGGGAGGGGGGGAAATGGGCATTTATTGAAACCTTAAAATCTGTACCCCCATAATATGCTGAAATAAAAAAAATAATAAAATATACATAGACACATAAAAAATATTATTTATATAGAAAGATTTTGTGTTCTTTTCTAAGTATCTCTTAAATTAAAGGTAGAATTTTAGCTTATTCATTTTGAATTCCGAATACAAGCAGTGCTCTAATGTAAGTTTGATGAAAGTGCCCCAATCTAGCCTCTGAAAGGAAAGTTTTAAGTTGAAGTTGTTTGTGTCATTTGACATTGCTATAAAATTGAGTTGAATTTAGAGTGAAAGCTCTGTGAAGGCAGGACTGTGGCTGCTTCTCCGTGCACTCCAGCATCTAGACAGAGCCTGGCATGTGACAAGTGCATAGTCAATATTTGCCAAATGGATGAATGAATGAATGAGTGCATTTATCTCTGAATCAACTTCTCGGACTTTTATTGACTTAGATTGGTTAGCATAATGCTTCTGCCTGACTTGATGTTAGGAGGAAATATAGTAGGGAGTTTTAGAGTTTAGTGTCTCTTTATGATTATTAGCAGAATTGTCTAGTTGAGCACAAAATTATTTTTCCCATTATTTATTCCATCATTGCTCATTATGGACTATAAGGGCCTTGACATTTAACTCAACCCCATATTTTTTTATTATTTCAAATAAATTTTGGATTATTCTGGAGAGTATTTTGTTCTTGAACAACAGAATACTCTTGAAAAGATTACACTGTCTAATAGTGTCCTTTATTGGCTTAGGAAATAGAGAAACAAAGAAAAAATTGAAGAAAATCTAGCCTCCAGGGCTTTAATTAGAAACTATCTTTGGGAAAGATACTTTCCTTGGCTAGTGTTTTAGATACCCTTAGGTTATTCTGACCACATACTTGGATTTTATGATAGCAAAGCTGGGGCCTAAAATAAATAAATATTAAAAATACTGTGATTATTTCAATAAGCAAATTTTCCAAAGTCCATGGTTATTGCAAGCAAGTATGTGCCTTACACTTTATGCCATTTGTCCAATTCTTATCCTTGGATACTACAAACAGGCACCCTCTGCTTCTATCCAGCCAGGCTTCTTTCTGTGCCCTCTTTGCAGTATTCTGATTTCTGCATACTAGCTTTTCTCAGATGTCAAGGGAAAGCTCTCTACATCGTGTGGTGTGTTCTCATGGGCTGCAGGACCTGTTATGTCTCTTCGTTTTCTCCCCTTCTGCCGAGGGTCCATTCATCCCCCAGGGCTCTCTTTAGACCACCTTCCTATGCTAGCATCCCAGCTCAAACCAGTGCCTGCCCTGCCCAGCCTCCTTAGCATGCTGAATTGCAGACGGTCCAGTTTTCCATTGGGTCATTTCTTCAGGGTACACATGCCATATATTTTCTCAAATTCCCCAGAGTATTCAGCTGACCCACTTCCAGATTCAGGTAGATTATGTTCATTGAATAGTAGTTTAGAAAACTAAGAAAAGGATATTTTCAGCCTGGTACGTAGCTCTCTCAAATACATTATCAATTTGAGATAAAGCTGTGACAGTCTGTCTGCATTGTCATTACCGTAATAACGTTACTGTATCATTGATAAGATGGCAATGTGGTGTTGTGTCCTCATGGTTTTAGCTGCCATCTGTATACTAAATGCCTTCCATCCTAACATCTTCATCTCTGTACCTGTATATCCACCTGTGTACTGTGTATCTCTGCATCTCTGGTTGCGTATCCCAGGAGTGCCTCAAACTCAGCATGTCCACAGTACAGCAGATGTCTTTCCACGACTTTCCACTCCAGCAACACACACACACACCTTCCTCTTTCTGTGTCATACAGTGGGGAATGTCCTTGAAGACTTTACTCAGTAGTTCTTCCAGGAAGCCTTCTGCGATGTTGTAGTTCCCCTTGTTTCCTTTTGCTATCACACTTTCACAGTGAATTCTGATGATACCAGTATTTTTTTCTCACCTTTGTGAGATGGCGAGCTTCCTTAGGCAGTAGCTATTTGTTTTCAGGTTTGTATTCCCAGCACCTTGCCCAGTGCCAGGAAATCCTTATCAAATGAGTGAAAAGGCAGAATTGTCAGAACTGGAATTTCAACCCAAGCCTGCCTCAGTCTCAAGCCCATTCAGATGAGGGCAGGGTGGGGATTATAAGCAGAAGCAGCAGCACGTGGACAGAAATGTAGGCACGAGAGGGAATCAGTCACTCAGGAATGTATGCCTCAAGAGTGGTGGAGTGTGTTTCTGGTAATGATGAAGGCTGCACAGATAGGCAAGGAGCACAGATAGGCAAGGAGCCAAATGTAATCGGAGTCTGGCTTTTATCCTGAATAAAAGGGGGCTATTGGAGCATCTAATGTAGGGGAGTGAAATGAGTGCATTTACATTTAAGGAAGATCAACCTGGAAAAAGAGTAGAGAAAGGATTGGAGAAGAGGGAGGCTGGGCTGGAGGCAGCAAGACTATTTAAGGCAATATTTCAGTAATTCAGGTAAGAAATGATGAGCGCCAGTGTAAGGTGGTGGCTGCAGGGATTGGAGAAGAAGGCAATGAACTAAAAAATATTCTGGAAAGTGAATTAACAGAACTCACTGATTGATGAGATGTGGGTGAGAGAAAGAGAGAGGAATCGAGGGTAATATGCTGGTTCCTAACTTGAGTAACTATATAAGTAGAGAATATAATGTCAGCTTCCGTTTTGGACACGCCAAGTTTGAGATACCTCTGGGACGTGTATGGGGAGCTATGCAGTATGCAAGTGGATGCATCTGGAAATTAAGAGAGAGAACTTTGACACAGAGGTTGTTGCTGAATCACAGCCATTGGAATGTGCAAAATCACTCAAGAAGAGCTTACAGAAGGAGAAGAATTCCGGGAGTAAACCCAAAGGAAGAAGTAACAGAGTAACTTGCAAAGGAGACCAAGAAGGAACAGCTTGAGGGACAGGAGGATATCCAGAGGAGAGCGATGGCCTGGAAATCAGTCAAAGAGAAGGATTTCATGAAGGGTCAAATGCCTCGTAGGCATCACCTCGTAAGGTGATGAATACAAAAATAAATGTATGTTTTAGGATTTATCTATCCAGAGATAGATAATCTTAGTATTTATGTTTCAGTGAAGTAAGGGGAAGAGAAAACATGCTGAAATGATGAAGACTTTAATCTCTTTTGGGAGTGATTGGGAGGTAAAGAAACTTGGAGAATGTAGACACCCTTTTCATGGAGTTTGACTGGAAAGGGAAGGAAAAAGAAAGAGGGAGAGGGTGACTGATAAGGATGTTAGGGTAGAGGAAAAGTTTTGATTTGTTTTATTTTAATGTGCGTGTTGCTGAAGGAAGCATGTCCATACAAAGAAAGAAGTTGAAAATACAGGTGAGGGAGGCTGATTAACGCAGCAGAGGAAGCTTGTGTGTGGGGAAAGGGGGTGGAGTGGGAAGGGCTGGGGAGGAACGAACAATCTCTGGAGGCAATTAGAAGGGTTGCCCTTTGACCGCAAGGAGGACTCTTCTTATGCCGGCTTGGGGAGAAAGAAATATATGTGGTTGTGGATAATTTTGTGGGTGGTAGGCAGGAATACCAGGACATTCTTGCCTGGTGGCCTTTCTGTTCTTCCTTGAGTTCCCAAGAAAGGGCCTTTCCTGAGAAAGACGGAGGAAGTGGTGCTGGAAGCTAGAGGAGAATGGAGAAGATTAAAGTAGGCATTCTGACAAGTCTCTCTGACTGTTACCTCATCTCTAAGATGGAGATTAAGTTTGGTGACAGTGTTAAGTGCCTGGCACAGTGCCTGACCCTTTACAGACTCTGTCCTAAACTCCTTCTTTTGTATGTGGTGTGTTTTGGGGGAACAGGAGCCCCAAACAATTCCTTTAAATATTCTTCATTAGTCACTAAATAATTACTGTGTACTTTTGACAGGTTCTCTGGGGGGGTATAGTACAAGATGTAAAAAATGCCTTCAGTGTTCCTTTTAATATGCAGGAAAGTTTTAAACAAATTATATTTAATGACTGTGACAATCTGATGTATGGGAAAATTAGTTGGGCGTAGGCGGAAGAGAAGTTTTACATAACATTTTTGGTGTTCAGGAATCAGAACCCTTGGAAGCAGTAATTTCTTTTTGGAGGAATACCTTGCTATTTGAGAACTTTATGAAATAATAATATATTTAATTTTTATCATGAACAGAGAAACACAATTTTGCTAGGGAAAGTCATCCTGTATTGTTGCATTGGGCTCATTAAATCCCAAGGAACAGAAACTGGCTAGCTCAGGAATGGGGGTCACTGTGGGGATACAGGTGGCGGTAGGAAACGATCCTCAGAGAAGGTCAGGAAGTAGGACTTCCCTGACTCTTTCCTTCTCCTCGCATGTGTCTGCTTCTCTCTGTTGATTATCCACGTTTCCCTGGGGGTCAGCAACTGATTACTTCTGTAGACCGCCCCCACCCACCACCCCAATTTCTGAAAGAAGGATTCTGGTTTGCCTGGCTAATTCCCATAGTCTGTGTTTGGGCAGAAATTTTTCTCTCCATGTTGTACAAAGATAATATATTAGCGATAATAGTAATAATAATAATGTCTACTGAACATCTGCCAAGTGCCCAGAACTGTGCTGTTACAAGTTTTAATTTAATCTGCTCAATAACCATATGAGACAGATACTGTTATCACAGATGAGGAAACTGCACCTGGACATGTTCATGAACTTGCTCAGGGCCACCCCATTCTGGGATTTCAGCCCAGGTCTGCCTGACTCTGGAGCCCATTATGCTAACATTCTGCCCAGTTACTGTTTTGGCTACATTTGGTTCATATTTCCACCCCTGGTCCAATCAGCTGTGTTAAGTTGCTTTAGTGGTTGACCAGGGAGATGCTGGGGTTGACATGTTAGTACCTACAGTTTTTGTAGGTAATACATAGCAATTATATGTATTACCTACAAAAACTGTTTTTCTAAGTTGTTTTATTAATACTTGTTTGTCACTTATTTATTGATTTTACGTGTACTGGTGAAAATAAACTCATCTAAAAAAAAATTATGAGAAAACTCTCCAAAAATTGTGAAAACTTTATTAACCCTGTATTTGTGCATCTAGGAAAGAATGCTATTACATTGTTTTAGCATAGGAACAATTTGATACATTGTATTAGTTAGCCCTGGCTGCCATAACATACCACAGACTGTGTAGCTTAAACAGCAGAAATTTATTTCCCACAGTTCTGGAGGCTGGGAAGTCCAAGGTCAAGGGGTCAGCTAGTTTGGTTTCTAGTGAGGAGTCTCTTCCTGGCTTGTGGATAGCCACCTTCTTGCTGTGTGCTCACATGGGTTTTCCTTGATGCACATTGAGGAAAGAGAGACTGAGAGAGAGTAAGCTCTCTGGTATCTGGTCTTAGAAGAACACTATCCTATCAGTAGGGGTCTTCCCTTATGACCTCATCTAACTTTACCCCCCAAAGCCCCATCTCCCGATACTATCACATCGGGGGTTAGGGCTTCAGCATGTAAATTTTGAGGGGCCAAAGTTCAGTCCATAGTAGATATTAATGTGAATTTTAAAACTTATTCATACAGTACAAGAAGTTGCTTACTGAGGAAGGACAAAAAATTGGAACCTTTGAGAGATTTATTTCTGGTTCCATGGCTGGAGCAACTGCACAGACTTTTATTTATCCCATGGAGGTAAGTACCATCGTGAAGTCTGATTGCTTGAAGGTATTTGTATTGGTTATCTATCGCTGTATAACAAGTTATCCCAAAATTAACAGTTTAAAACAGCAAGTGTGTATCATAGCACCCTAGCCCAGTGTCACTGGCTCAGGGCTTTTCCATCTTAAAATCAAGATGTTGGCCAGGGCTGCTCAACTGGCAATAGATCTGCTTCTAGGCTCACTCATGTGGCTGCTGCCAGACCTCATTTGCTATTGGCTGGAAACATCTATCTGTTCCTTATCACACGGGCCTTTCAAGAGGCTGTCTGAGGAGCCTCACTACAGGGTAGCTGGCTTCCCTACAGTCAGTGATCCAACAGAATGAGAGATTGAGAATGGGAGAGACAGAGAGAGAATGCCCAAGATGGAAGCTGCAGTCTTTTGTCACTTTTGCTGTATTCTCTTGGTCACACAGACCAATCCGGTAGAGTGTGGGAGGGGTTACACAATGGTGTGACTACCAGGAGAGGTAGTCTGCCACTGGCTGACTGGAGAGGCTGGCTGCCACTGTATTGATAAAGATTATAACTCCCATTTCTCTTTAAAGCGTTCCTGTACTGTAAATTTAATAATGGAACCTTGGGATTTGATTACATTACTATGATGGTAATCCTGACTAGACATCTTTCCATTAGAGCATGGGTTGGCAAACCACAAACCTGTGGACTATTTTGGACAGTGCTTGAGCTAAGTGGTTTTTCCATTTTTAAAAGGTAGATAAAAATAAAACAAAAGAAAAATAATATGCAATAAAGACCTGATATTGTAGGCATGCAAAGACTAAAATATTTATTGTTTGTCCTATACAGAAAAAGTTTGCCAACTCCTGCTGTGGAGCAAAAATGATATTGTTAGATACTGGTATCTTTATTGATATAACAAAGGATTTTTTAGTAACCGATAAGACCTAAGCAGGATACACCCTTAACTTTCACTACTCTGTGGTATGCATGTTAATACAGCTTTCTTTACAAGCTTGGAGTAACATGATTGTTCATATTACTCCACATACCTCTCGAAAAAGTATCCTATCTCAATAGCTTTTCTTCCTCTTATATCCTCCATATCAGTTAATATTAGCAGCATCACCTCCCCACTCCTCCCCTCCTATATTCCATGCTGGAAACACAGGAAGTTATTCTTTACGCTGCAGTCCCCAACTCCCAGGCCATGGACCGGTACCGGTCTGTGGTCTGTTAGGAACTGGGCCATATCACATCCCGGGCTCCATATCCCACCCCCCCACACCCCCGCCTCTCCCCCCACCACCATGGAAAAATTATCTTCCAGGAAACTGGCCCCTGGTGCCAAAAAGTTGGGGGCCACTGTTTTATACTACCATTTTCCTAACCTTCCATACCTAATTGGTGACCGGTCATTTTTGTTAAGACATGTGTAGATTACTTGTCTCCATTTCCTCTATCACTGCCCTCATTCAGATCCTCTTAGTAATAAATGGGTCTCCCTGGCTCTAATCTTAGCCCCTCAAAAGAGGTAATACAGCCAGGCACAATGGCTCATGCCTATAATCCCAGCACTTTGGGAGGCTGAGGAAGGAGATTTGCTTGATCCCAGGAATTCAAGACCTGCCTGGGCTACATAGTGAGACCCTGTCTCTATTAGAAAATTAGCCAGGCGATTACTTGAGCCCAGGAATTCAAGGTTGCAGTGAGCTCTGATTGGGCCACTGCCCTCCAGCTTGGGTGATAGAGCAAGACCATGTCTAAAAAAAGAAAAATAGTAATATATGAGGGAGAATATGTCAACGCATTGGATAGTCATTTGAGTGACGATATGTGCTGGATGTTTGTTCTTTGTAAAATGCCTTCTTTTGAATTCCATGATGATTGAATTAATATGAACAAGAGTATTTTGTTATATTCTTTTATATGCAGGTTGTGAAAACCAGGCTGGCTGTAGGCAAAACTGGGCAATACTCTGGAATATATGATTGTGCCAAGAAGATTTTGAAATATGAAGGTTTTGGAGCTTTTTACAAAGGTTATGTTCCCAATTTATTAGGCATTATACCTTATGCAGGTATAGATCTTGCTGTGTATGAGGTGAGTTTATAACAATCTTTTAAATCTGAAAATGTAGTTAAATAGCTCTTGTTGTTAGAATTTGACTTTATATGAAGAATTAGATATATACCAGAAAAAGATTTGTAGATTCAAGTGTATATTATTTGAACTTTCTTTTCAAGCACCTTGAATATGAATATTCATGGGATCACTTTCTTATTAGATTTCCTTGAAGAGTATACTCAAATTTAGGTATAGTTATTCACCTTAGAAGATAGTACTAGAGATTGTTTTGAGCGGAAAGAAATAAGCAAAAATGTCACATTTTCTTTAATGTTTTAAAATCTGACATTGATAAAGCCAGGTTGACTTGGTGGGGCTAATTCAGTTTCATTCCTTGTACTGACTCAGAATTCAAATCTTGGATCAGCCCCGCCACCTAAATCATTTAACAGTTTATGAATCTGATAAACATGTATTGAGCACACAGTATACAAACCACTGGGTTAGATGTTGGATCTAGGGATTCAAAGAAGGACTCAATGTCTGCCTTTAAGAAACTGAAGGTTTGGTGGGGGAGATAGACAAGCCAGGAACTAAAGCATGGTGTGGGTTGGTTGTGCTGTGGGAGGTGTAAGCCAGGGTGCATGATAGGCGGGGCCCAACCTACAGCCGAGAGGAGGGGTGGAATGTGAAATGAAGCTTTCTTAGAGGACTTGACTTTTGTTTTTAACAGATTTACTGATACTTAATTCATATTCCATATATTTCAACCATTTGAAGTATACCATTCAATGGCTTTTGGTATATTACATTATTAATTTTTTAAAATTATGGTAAAATATAACATGAAATTTGCCATTTTAACCATTTTTAAGTGTACAGTTGAGTGGCATTAATTACGTTCACAATACTGTGCAACGATTAACGCTATTTCCAAGCTTTTTCATCACTCCAAAGAGAAACTCTTTAACCATTGAGCAGTAACTCCCCATTCTCTCTTCTCCTCAAGGCCTGGTAACCTCTAATCTACTTTCTATCTGTATGAATTTGTCTATTCTAGATATTTTATAAGTGGAATCATTCAGTATTTGTCCTTTTGTGTCATTATTTCACTTAGCCCAGTGTCTTTCATTCATATTATAGCATATATCAGAACTTCTTTCCTTTTAGTGGCTGAATAATATTCCATTGTGTGTATATATTCATTTATCTATTGTTAACACTAGGATTGTTTCAACCTTTTGACTATTGTGAATAGTGCTGCAAGAAACATAGACATTTAAGTATCTATTTGAGTCACTGCTTTTAATTCCTTTGAGTATATACCCAGGAATGGAACTGCTGGGTCATATAGTGGTTCTGTGTTTAGCTTTTTGAGGCACTGTCAAACTATTTTTGATGGTGGCTCCACTGTTTTACCTTCTCATCAGCACTATATAAGGCTTCCAGTGTTTCCATAACCTTGTTAACACTTGTTATTTTTCCTTTTTAAACAAAAAAAAAATCTTTTATCATAGCCATCCTAGTAAATATGAAGTGGTATGTCATTGTGGCTTAGGACTTTACTTCTTGTAAAGTCTTTTTTTAAAATTGTGGTAAAAAACACATAACATAAAATTTACCATCTTAACTATTTTAAAATATATAGTACAGCAGTGTTAACTATATGTGGATTGTTGTGCAACAGATCTTTTCATCTTGCAAAACTGAGGTTCTGTACTCGTTGAACACAGCTCCCAGTTTCTTCCTCACCCTGGTCCCTGGTAACACACTTTCTCTTTCTATGAGTTTGACTGCTTTAGTTAGCTATCTCATATAAATGAAATCATGTGGTGTTTGTCTTTTTGTGACTGGCTTACTTCACTTGGCATAATGTCCTCAAGATTCATTCACATTGTAGTGTATGATAGGATTTCTTTTGTTTTTTAAAGGTGAATAATATTTCATTGTGTGTATTAATGTATGTCACATTTTTTTGGATTCATCTATTGATGGACATTTGGGTTTGTATTAACACATCTTGACTAGTGTGAATAGTACTCCAGTCAACATGGTTTTACAAACATCTCTGTGAGCTCCTGTTTTAAGTTCTTTTTGATGCATACTCAGAAGTGGGATTACTGGATCAGATGATAATTCTATTTTTAATTTTTTGAGAGAACGCCATACTGTTTTCCTTAGTGACTACATCTTTTTTTTTAATTCTTATCAACAGTGCGCAGAAGTTTCAGTTTCTCCATGCCCTCACCAATGCTTATTTTCTGTTTTTTTGTTTTTGTTGTTTGTTTTGCTAGTGGCCATCCAAACAGGTGTAAACAAGATCTCATTGTGGTTTTGATTTGCATTTCCTTGATGATAAATGATGTTGAGCATCTTTCCATATACCTGGTGGCCATTTGTATGTCATGTTTGGAAAAATGTCTGTTCAGGTCCTTTGCCCATTTCTTTAATCATATTTTCTTTGTTGTTATTATTGAGTTGTAGGAGTTTTTTAAAAATACATTCTAGACATTAATTCCTTACCAGATATATAGTTTGCAAATATTTTCTCCCAATGTATAGGTTGCCTTTAGGTTGCAATCTATAGATTGCAATCTGTTGATTGTTGCCTTTGTTGCATAGGAACTTCCAGTTTGATGTAGTCCCATTTGTCTATTTTTTGTTTTTGTTACCTGTGCTTGTAGTGTCATATCCAAAAAATTGTTGCCAAATCCAATGCTTTCTCCCTATGCTTTCTCCGAAGAGTTCTATAGTTTTAGGCCTTGCATTTAGGTCTTTAATTCATTTTGAATTAATTTCTGTATGTGGTGTTAGATAAGGGTCCAACTTCATTCATTTGCATGTGGATATCCAGTTTTCCCAGCACCATTTGTTGAAGGGACTCTGTTTTCCCCAGTGTGTGGTCTCTGCTCCCTTGTTGAAGGTTATTTGGCTATATACACAAAGGTTTATTTCTGGGCTCCCTGTTCTACTCTATTTTGTTGGTATGTGTATCTGCCTTTATGCTAGTACCATACTATCTTGATTATTGTTGTTTTATAGTATATTTTAAAATCAAAAAGTGTGAGGCCTCAAGATTTGTTCTTTTTCAATATTATTTTGGCTATCTGGGATCCCTTGAGATTCCATATGAATTCTAGGATGATATTTTCTATTTCCATAAAAAAAGCCATTGGGATTTTGTTAGGGATTGCCTTGAATCTGTAGATTGCCTTGGGTAGTGTATTAGTGTGCTTGGACTGCCATAACAAAATACCACAGTCTGGGTAGCATAAACAACAGAAATTTATTGTTTTTACAATTCTGGAGGCTAGAAGTCCCAGATCAAGGTTCTGGCTGATTCTATTTCTGGTGAAGGTTCTCTTTCTGGCTTGTAGATCGCTGCCTTCTCACCATGTCTTCACATGCCTTTCCTTGGGGTTGAGGGGGCCAGGGGTGGGGGCGAGAGAGAGAAGAGAGACCTTGTAAATTTTGTGATGTCTCTTCTTAAAAGACACTAATCCTATTGAATCAGGTCCTTAACATTATGGGGAATATAAACATTCAGTCCATGGCAGGTGGTATGGACATTTTAACAGTATTAAGTCTTCCAGTCCATGAACATGAAATGTCTTTCCATTTATTTACGTCTTTGATTTCTTTTAGCAATGTTTTTTAGTTTTCAGTATACAAGTGTTTCACCTCCTTGATTAGGTTTATTTCTATTTTATTATTTTTGATGCTATCGTAAATGGGATTTAAAAAAAAGTTTCCTTTTCAGATTGATCAATGTTAATATATAGAAGAAACACATTTGTTTTTTCTGTGTTAATTTTGTATCCTGCAACTTTGCTAACATTGTTTTTTAAGTTTAAGTTTTATGTGGAAGTTTTAGGGTTTTCTGCATATAAAATCATAGCATCTGTGATCAGAGATAATTTTGCTTCTTCCTTTCAAATTTCGACCCTTTTTCTTGTCTAAATGTTCTGGCTCAACTTCCGGTACTACGTGGAGTAGTAGTGGTAAGAGTAGGCATCCTTGCTTGAACTGGATCTTAGAGGGAAAGCGTTCAGTTTTCACTGTTGAGTTGTCAACTGTGGGCTTTTCATATGTGACTTTTATTATGTTGAGGTAGTTTCATTCTATTCCTAGTTTATTGAGTGTTTTTATCATGAAAAACATATCAACATGTTATTACCATGTTACGTGTTTGTCTGGTTTTGGTATCAGGGTAATGCTGGCCTTACAGAATGAGTTTGGAAGTGCTTTCTCCTCTTCAATTCTTTGGAAGAGTTTGAGAAGGATTGGTGTTAATTCATCTCTAAATGTTTGGTAGACTTCTCCAGTGAAGCCATCTGGTCCTGGGCTTTTCTTTGATGGGAGTTTTTTGATTACTGATTCAATCTCCTTACTAGTTACAGATCTATTCAGATTTTCTGTTTTTTCATGAGTCAGTATTGATAGGTTTCTAGGAATTTATCCATTTCTTTTAGGTTATTTAATTTGTTAGCATATAATTGTTCATAACAGTCTCTTTTAATCCTTTTTATTTTTATGACATCGATTGTAATGTCCCCTCTTTCATTTCTAATTTTAGTTATTTGAGTCTGCTCTCCTTTTTTCTTAATTAGTGTAGCTAAAGGTTTGTCAATTTTGTTGATCTTTTCAAAGCAGCAACTCTTGGTTTTACTGATTTTTTTTTTTCCTGTTGTTTTTCTATACTCTATTTTGTTTATCTCTGCTCTAATCTTTATTATTTCCTTCCTTCTGCTAACTTTTGGGTTAGTGTGTTCCTTTTCTGGTTCTTTGAGGTATAAAGTTAGGTTGTTGATTTGAGATCTTTATTCTTTCTTAATGTAAGGATTTATTGCTATAAACTTTCCTCTTAGAACTACACTGGGTACTACATTTGCTGCGTCCCGTACGTTTTGGTATGTTGTGTTTTCATTTTCATTTGTCTCCAGATATTTTCTAAATTCCTGTGTGATTTCGTCTTTGACCTATTTATTGGTTGTTTAAAAGTGAGTTATTTAATTTGCATATAGTTGTAGATTTTTCTGTTTCCCTCTGCTGTTGATTTCTAGTTTCATTCCACTGTGGCCAGAGAAGATACTTCATATGATTTCAGTCTGCTAAATTCAGTAAGACTCATGTTGTGGCTGAGCATGTAGTCTGTCTAGGAGAGTGTTCCATGTACACTTGAGAGGAAGGTGTATTCTGCTGTTGTTGGGTGGAGTGGTCTGTAAATGGCTGTTAGGTCCGGTTGGTCTGTAGTGTTTTTCATGTCCTCTTTAGTTTTTTATTCATTTTCTGCTGGTTGTTCTATCTATAACTGAAAGTGGAGTATTGAGGTCTCCTGCTTTTATTATGTTGATGTTTAGTTCTTCCTTCAGTCCTTTTTCATATATTTAGGAGCTTAATTTTGGGTTCACATATATTTATAATTACTATATCTTCCTGGTAAATTGGCCTGTTTATCATTAGATAATGTCCTTCTTTGTCTCCAGTGATACTTTTTGTCTTAAAGCCTATATTTATGTAAGTATGGCGACCTTTGTTCTCTTTAGGTTCCTCTTTGTATGGAATATCTTTTTCCATCCTTTTATTTTCAACCTGTGTGTGTCCTTGGGTCTAAAGTGCATTGCTTATAGATAGGATATAGTTGATTCTGTATCTTTTATCCATTCAGCAATTTATGTCTTTTAATTATGTGATTTAATATATTTACATTTAAAGCAATTTCTGATAGGGATGGACTTACTATTATCATTTTCTCAGTTGTTTTGTAGCTTTGTCTTGTAGCTTTTTTGTCTTTCCTCTCTTACTGCTTTCTTTTGTGTTTTGTTGATTTTTTTTTTTTTTTTGTATGGCATGTTTTGATTCCCTTTGTGTATGTTCCATAGATATTAGCCCTATGGTCACTATTGCAATTACATAAAACATATTAAAGTTAAAACAGTCTATTTTAAGCTGGTTACAAATTAACTTCAATTGTGTATAAAAACTCCACTCTTTTATACATCTGTGATATTCTCTCCTCTACTTTGTTATTGATGACACAAATTACCTTTTTTTATATTGTGTATCCATTATGTAGATTTATAGTTACTTTTTATGCTTTTGTTTTTTAAATTCTGTTTAAATTGTGTTTTTGAAATTTAGATTTCAAAGTCATTTATAACCTGTATTACAGTATGATAGGATTTTACAATTTCTACATATTTACTTTCACCATGCAGTTTTAAATTTTCATATGGTTTTGTGTTGCTGTTTATCATCCTTTTGTTTCCCCTTGTAGCCTTTCTTGTAGGGAAGTTCTAGTGATGATGAACTATCTCAGCTTTAGTTTGTCTGGGAAGGTCTTATTTTCTCCTTTGGTTTTTAAGGATAGTTTTCCTGATACAGTGTTCTTAGTTGGCAGTTTTTTAAATTTCACCACTTTGAATATAACATTCTACTTCCTTCTAGCCTGTAAGGTTTCCATTGAGAAAGCCACTTATAATCTTGTAGAATTAAAACATTTAAAAATTTAAACTAGTTATATAGTTTTTTCACATATTCATGTGTATTTTTATACTGAAAATATTTTATGTCTAAAAAATTGGTTAACATATATATTTTATATAATTTCTCCTAATTATTACCCTCTAATGAAATACAGGGACCCAGTTTAATAGGAGGAAAAGCATAACCTGTGGATCAGCACACCTGGTTCTGACCCTTTCTTTAAAAACTCCTTTGAGATGAGTCTTTAGATTCATGTCAGAGTTTTTAAAGACCAAATGAAATATGTGTAAAGTCTAAAATGAGATATAATTAATTTTATATTATTTTATTAATACCCACCCACAATAAGAAATGTTCTTTAGATCCTACATTTGGTGTGCTATTGATCTTCATATTTGTGTAGAGGAAAATGAGCAACCAGTGCAAACCTCACATGTTCTGAATCCAGTGGCACTCCCACATGTCCACAGAGCTGTGGCCTCCTACAGTGGCTGCTGCTCCTAGGAATGTGCTGCTCCCTCTTGCAGAAATGTGGCCTCTGTCTCACGAGGATGAGAATAGCTGTGAAAATGTTTACAGTGAGTAAAAGCAGTTATGGAGTTATTCATTATTTTTTTTCTTTTTTCTGTTTCTCTGGCAGCTCTTGAAGTCCTATTGGCTAGATAATTTTGCAAAAGACTCTGTAAACCCAGGAGTCACGGTGTTGCTGGGATGTGGTGCCTTATCTAGCACCTGTGGCCAGCTGGCCAGCTACCCCTTGGCTTTGGTGAGAACTCGCATGCAGGCTCAAGGTGGGTTTTTGATTACAGAATGACACTGATGAGGTACTGTGTGAGTAATGTGCTTTTGGAATGCCAAGTTCTACTGAGGCAGAAGAGTGTAGTTTTAGGACAGTATTTCTCAACATTTTTTTAAATTATTGTCTCCCTAAGGAAACTTTTCAGAGATTCTTTTAAAAAATAAAAATAAAATAAATGCTGCCTCTTCATGAAATTGTAATACCACAGATGCGCACTGCATATGCTTCATGGATAAACAGTAAGATTTTTTTTAGACTGTGTTGAATGCATGTTTTAAGAGTGTAAGCTTTGGTATCTAGATGGATTTGGGTTTAGATCTTTGCCCTAAACCTCTTTGGGTTTTCAGTGAGAATGAAAATTATGCAGTGTTAAAAGAATTAGCAACAATATATGCACATGGCATTTGCCAAATTCTTGGTAAGTGGTGGCTAGAATTGTTTATTAGTGCTACTCGAACTGTGATTCCTGCTCACTGTGACACTGTCTCCACTGTTAGCTTTGATTTTACTGTGTTCTTCTTGTCTAGGTCATTGATTATTTTCCTGTTACTATTTGCTGGCTTTAATTGCTATACCTAGTCTATTAAAGTATACATTCTGTGCCTTTCTATTCCTTTTTATGCTTTTCCTGGTCAGTCTTACCTACTGTCAATTCTTTAAATAGTATACTCTGGGCACCTATAGCTCCATCCTTAATCACCCTTCCAAGTGCCAGCCACCCCTCTCTCCACCAAGCAGTCAGTCCATTAATTGACAAGTACTTCCTGAGCCATTGTCTGCCTGATGCTAGGGTTAAGAGCAGTCACCAACTCAGATGTGGTCTGCCACTGTAGAGAAGAAATATGTCCGGCAAGTAAACAACTTCATTAAACTACCTTAGTTAGGAAAGCACAGAGCAAGGGGCCATAACTTAACTTGGGAGCTGCAGATCCCTATCAGTTAAGCTAGACTGGAAAGACAAGTGGGGGTTAGCTGGGCATAGGTGGAGTGGGCAAGGAGCATTGCAGCTGAGGGCAAGCATGCATGAAGACACAGGGGCAGGAGCAAACATGGCGTATTTGAGGAGCTGAAAGACGATCATATGGCTGCAGAGAAAAATGCAAAATAATAAACTAAACGTTTCTTATGTATTCTGTCACGTACCCATCATAACCGTCTTGGGAGGGCATACTAACATTATTCCCGTTTTCCAGATGAATAACTGGGGCGAAGAGACAGTATGTAACTTCCACAAGGTTGTACATTCGGTAAATAGTGGAGCTGGAATTCAAACCTGTGTAGTCTGATTTAAGCCCTCCTGTCTGTCACCTGCAATCCAGGGCTTTGCATGGCCTATAGATTTGTCATTTCTGATGACAAGATCTGACCATTTGACATCTGTTCAGACATCTTTGAAACTCTTCAGTGTCTTCAGAGTAAATCCTGAAGTTCTTAGTGGGAATTTCAAAGCTTTTAATAATATGGCCCCACTTTAGTTTGCTTCTTCTCCATTTTCCTGCCCCTACTTTGCCCACCTCCAGCCCATTATACTGTCACTAACAGCCACATCTGGCAGTCAGCCGTGTCCCCGTAGCACATGAGTATTCCTGCCCTGGTCTTGGTTGTACCAGCAACATGGACTTTCCCTCCTTCCTTTTATTGCCTGTTGAGGTCATTTCCAAGGTCCAGATCCCCTGTACCTTTCCTAAGTTTCCCAAAGCTTTCCCTGGACTCCCCCTACTTGCTAAGATTTAACTGTTCTCTCTTCATCACTTGGCTAGTGAGGAGGAGGAGGAGATAGTGTGGTGTAGTGAAAAGTACATGGGCCATTGCCCGGTGTGGTGGCTCATGCCTGTAATCCTAGCACTCTGGAAGGCTGAGGTGGGAGGATTGCTCAAGGTCAGGAGTTCAAGACCAGCCTGAGCAAGAGTGAGACCCTGTCTCTACTAAAAATAGAAAGAATTAGCTGGACAACTAAAAATATATAGAAAAAATTAGCCAGGCATGGTGGTATATGCTTGTAGTCCCAGCTACTCGGGAGGCTGAAACAGGAGGATTGCTTGAGCCCAGGAGTTTGAGGTTGCTGGGAGCTAGGCTGATCTAGCCCAGGCAACAGGGTGAGACTCTGTCTCAAAAAAAAAAAAAAAGTATATAGGCCTTGGAGTTACACACACCGTCGGATCTCAGTTCTGCTACTTGATAGCTAAGTGTTTTAGGACAAATTTCTCTGTCTCTCCAAGCCTCTAATTCCTCATTTATAAAATGGATAAAATTTACCTTGCAGGATTGGTATGGAAAGTAATTAACCAGGTGTCTAACACATAGTAATTACTCAATAAGTAACTATTATTACTGTCATTGTTAGAGCACTCACTATTAGGTACTATACAAAGAGAGTTATATAAAGGGGTACTTTGTTGGGCTTCTTAGAATTTTATCTTTTCATTGTATTCTAGAATATCATTCTTATTATAATAATGATGAAACATGCTTGAATATTAAATTAGCCTGGTTTCTTTTTTAATTTTCTAGCTATGGTAGAAGGAAGCCCACAGCTGAACATGGTTGGCCTCTTTCAACGAATAATTTCCAAAGAAGGAATACCAGGACTTTACAGAGGCATCACCCCAAACTTCATGAAGGTGCTCCCTGCTGTAGGCATCAGTTATGTGGTTTATGAAAATATGAAGCAAACTTTAGGAGTAAACCAGAAATGACATGTTGAATTTTTTATATTAGCATGATTATTGTAATTTTCAACAATCTCTAGGGTGACTTTTTCCTCCTAGAATTGAAATAAGTCTATGGCAAAAGCTGTATCTTTTTCACAAAAGGGAAGAGCATATCAATGATCACTTCAAATATTTGGGCTTAATTTTATATATTCAGAAATGTTAAGAATCATTGTTTTAATAAGTTTTGAAAAGGCTACAAAATTATAATTTTTTCTTTTCTTTCTAGTCCTGCAAATCTCTGCCCTGAATCCTAAATCTGAAAATGTACTTGCTTGAACTAATTTTGTTTTGTGTGGTAGAATGATAAATTCTTAATCTTTATTTTGGTTGGTTCAAGTTTATGCCAATTCTGTTTTCCTTAAATGTCTTATTTTATATATTCTGAATGTCTTTATAGACTTCTTAAAATTTCTTTATAGAACCATTAATAGAAAAGCATTGCATTTAAAATATACCTACAGCAGCCAAGTAAGTGTTAGGTTTATATTCTTGTTTTTCTTCAAGCCAAAGAGGAATGAACATAATGGCAGAATTTGTAAGGAGGAGCGATGAAATTATATTTATTTCAGTGAGCACATTTTCATTTTACTTGTATTATTATTTGATTCCTGGAATTATGCATTGATTTGCAGTATATTACTGTGAAACTATCAACACAAGACAACTAATTTGAAAGATTTTGTTTATTCTGTCACTGTTTGAAAGCAGCAGGAAACAAAATCCTTTTACTTATATCAGCTTCTGCAGAGCATCTCTCTTTTCTTTGTCCTTTGTTTCCTACTTTTTGAACCAGATTTTGTTTTAATCAGGAAGGCTTCTTAAAACCATTCTTAGTAATCTGAAATTTCTCTTTTTTAATTACATAAAGTGGGTTGATCCTGGGAGAAATGACATGCTTATTTCCCTCTCACTGTTAAATTTCTTTGAACCTGCCATTCTCAATTTTGGCAGCACAAAGCCAAGAGATACATATTAATAGTAGTCTGTATTAATCTTACACATTAGGTACCTACACTCAAATGAAAGGCCCAATTTGTAGACTTACATTCGTATTCGCTCTTGCTCCAAGTTTTAGAAACATGCTATGATATAGAAAACTTAATTTCTAATAATGATAGCATTTTTTAATTTACTAAAGCTATTTTTGTAGTCCACGATCTTTTCTGATTTTTTTTGTTTTTTTGAGACAGAGTCTCACTTTGTTGCCTAGGCTAGAGTGCTGTCGCATCAGCCTAGCTCACAGCAGCCTCAAAATCCTGGGCTCAAGCGATCCTTCTGCCTCAGCTTCCCGAGTAGCTGGGACTGCAGGTATGCACCACCATGCCCGGCTAATTTTTTCTATATTTATTTTTAGTTGGCCAATTAATTTCTTTCTATTTTTAGTAGAGACGGGGTCTTGCTCTTGCTCAGGTTGGTTTCTGACTCCTGACCTTGAGCGATCCTCCCACCTCGGCCTCCCAGAGTGCTAGGATTACAGGCATGAGCCACCATGCCTGGCCGATCTTTTCTGATTTGTATGACTAGGACTTAGAAAAATATTTATTAATTGAAGTTATTCTTGCCACTTTTTAATTTAGTTCCTAAACTTGTTTGATTTCTAAGAATTTCTGTTATAAATGGCCAACATTTTAATGAAAATCTAGTGAAATAATAGGCATTTACTTTATTTGAACCTACCTCTTTTATTTTCTGAACCAAAGAGAAAAGATGCACTTGTGTTTGTGAAACATTTTCAGAAATACAGTTTCATTTATATTAGTCATGCCTGATAAATGTCTCGGTATTTTTATAGTGTATCTGTGGTCCCCAACCCTCAGGCCTCCGCCCAGTACCAGTCCGTGGCCTGTTAGGAAATGGGCTACACATCACTGCCTGAGCTCTGCACCCTAGCCCCCTGACCCATGACACCCCACCCTTGAACCCCAGTCTGTGGAAAAATTGTCTTCCATGAAACCAGTCCCTGGTGCCAAAAAAGTTGGGGACCGCTGGATATGATAAACATGGGAATCTACTTTATTTTCAGGGTTATTTGTAGTTTTGAGTGATACATAAAATGGCAATATTAAGGTACATGATTAGCTCTTTTTTTACTCATAAAAATTATGAAAATGAATAATTTTGCTAACATTTTTTAAATTTCAAACTGCTGAAACATATGAAAATATTCATTCATTATGGATTTAAATTGTTTTCTATTTAGCGTTTGTAAGGAATGAATGTGATTTATCTGTGTATCTTGTATCTTTTGAAAAAATGATCTATCCTTTAGAAAAAAAGCCCAGAGTTGAAGATAGTTTATTTCCATCATCACTGCATGGTTATTTGCAATTTATATTAATAAATATATGTTTTTCAAATGACTTGTTTCTTAATTTTTATTTTTTTAGAGAAAATTCTTAAGTCTCAGTTTCTTAATTTTTAAAAGAATTTATAAATAAAGCAAAAACTGTATCTTACAGCTTAGATCTTTGGCAATGGTTGGGATAATGCCTTTCACATCTGGCTCCATATAGTCCCTCCAAATGTTTTTGCCTTTCCTGAACAGCCTAGTAATTATCTGTATGATGCATTTTTTTCAAAAGATGATTTTTTTGTGATATCCAAATTCCACATTTACCAATTAGGATTACACCCCCCTGGGGGCTCACAGTGCTGAGGAGAATCCAAAGCCGCAGGATGAACTTGGCACATCTTGCTGTGAAGTATCAGTTTGTCTTAAAATTGTGGGAAACAAAATCTAAGTTGACTTTTCTGATAAGCAATTTTTTAAAAAATTTATAATGCAGATTACAAGTACAAAATTTGATTTTAAAAAGTGAAACGTAAGACTTTAGAGAAATTCTGTGTTCCAACTCCAATACTATCCAGACTTTAGGACTAATCTATCAGTCCTTCCCTGTTCTCAGGGACTCCTTGTCAGAAAAATGCTGCTGGATTTGTTTCTTGCCTGTTAGTCTCGTCTCCCCGTCAAGAGAATAAGCTTCGTGCAAACAGGGATTGTATCTTACAGCATTTTGTTTCTTGAGCTTTATTTACATCAGGTCACATGTAAAAGTGTGGCATGGCTTCCTCATCCGCAGATGGGAATTTTGCTGGTCCTTTTTGCTGTCGTGGAATTTCCTTTTTTTGAGAAGAGCCACAAAGAAGTAACAATATTTGTGGAGGGGGCAACCAGTAGCCCCTCCTCTCCCTCCTTCGCCGTATTCCATCACTGGGAGAAGTGCCGAGTGGTCTGATCTCATTCAGGCTGCTCTCTGGGAGAGGACACCCTGCAGCGTCGCCCTGCCTGCCCCTGGCCCCCGCGGGCTGCCCAGCCTGGACGGCTGCCCTTCTCTGCCACAGTGTGAGTGAAGGCGCCTGTTCCCAGCCGTCTGGTGGACGTTCAGGAGGCTTAGCGGACAAACATGTTCTCCATCGTCAGTGGGCCCCGGAGCCCTGTACTCAGGTGCCTGGCCACAGCCACCACAGCGTCACTCGCTGGGAAAGCAGAAGTGCCTGCAGCCCGGCCCACTTCGGCATTTGTTCCAGCAGCATTGGCTCGCTCGTTCTTTCAGCGAGTGTTTAAGTGCCTACTTACTGTGTGCCAGATACTTTTAGGGGCTGGAGGACACAGCATTGAGCAAAAGACTCAGGACTTCTCCTCATGGAGGGCATCTCGTGGGGGGAGATGGAAAATAAGCGAACTAGAGTATGTAGCGTGTCAGGTGTATTAAGCGCCTAAGGTGGGGCTGGGGCTGGGCCTGCGGTTTTACAGAACTAGACCGAGAAGGCCTTGCTGCCCAGAGTTTCTGTTATTTGTTTTTAATTTCTACAAGTATTACAATGTTGGAAACGATCCTTTTATCTATTTTTTGTTAGTGGATATGGTCCTGTTTTGAATTCACTTTCACAAAGTCAAGATAACAATTAACAAACAAGTGATTTGTATTTTGTTACTCCAGAAAGACTGGCTGGTATGTCCAGGGATTTTTGAAGTGTTCTAAAGTGCCCTTTCCAACCTAAGCTGATTCCAGCCCCTGGTTTTCCCTAGTCAGCATGTCTTCCAAGCGTTTGCACTCATCTCTTTACACTGGTTCTACAACACAGCCCTGGTCATGGGCTCGGGATGAAGGGGGCTGAATCCCAGCGCCTGTAATCAGTGTCTGCTGCAGACACGCATCACTCAGCCAGCCTTTGCCATCTGGCAGGAGGTCCCCACACGGATCTTACTGCACCAAATGAGATGTGCAAACAAATATGACATTTCCTTATTTAAAAAAAAAATCTCCTTAAATCCAGCTGGAAGCTTTTATACTGCTGTGTTGTGCCAAAGACCTAGGGTGTTGGCCCCTCTGAATACTGGTTATGTTTCACACTAGTCACTGCTCAGGCTCCCTTTGTTCCAGCCTGCATGGTCCCTGGGCTCCAGAGGCTAAACCGTGCTTGGCATGGGAGCAGTTGGGAAGACATGGAGCATCTGTGCCTGCGGTCTAGCCTTTCCATTCTGACGAGGAGTTGAATGTGGATCTCTCTTAGCCTTGGGACCCACTAACCTTTTTCTCCTTCACAATCTCTGATCCACCCTTTTTGCTCTTTGCTCATAAAAGCACCCCTCTCCTCTTCCCTCTGAGATCCCTGTCATCCTCTCCGAAGGTAGCTTAGGTACGTTCAAAAGACAGAAGAGCCTTTGATTGAAAGTGAGTTTTGTTTTCCGCTTTAAGAAAATCACTGAGGGAAGAAAATACTAGAGGCCTAACTCCTGGCCTAAAATGAGATGAAAGGGAAAATATAGGGGGAATAAATAACAAATTATTCAGTTGATCCAGGTTAATATGATCTATAAACCAAGGTAGAGCCAAGTTTATCTCAGCCTTTTGGTCCAAAGTTTATATTCCTGACCCTTATAAATTTTAATCCACATACTACATGCTTCTTCTAAAGGGTATCATTTTCCTCCAGGCAATAAATTGGTACCTCTAATTGGGGGTCTCTCTATTCTTGTTGATGGTGGCCCTCCCAGGGAGGGCGACTTACAGGGATGACATCATTGCCAATCTAAAGTTAGGATGAATGTCCGGGCTCTTCTCACTGCCAGAGGAGTCGTCATTGCAATGCTTATTTTCACTCAGAGCAAAGCCAGGTATTTTTATAGACCCTCCAGGAGTTCCAGAGGGAGCCAGTAAATTGTGTAAATCACACCAATTGCATATGGGGTATATACAAAGTAACGTGGATTAATGGGGAAGTTTCAAACTTAATAAAATTGCTTGCAAGAGCAAAAGTAAACTAGTATTTGTAAGGATCTCATATGGACATTCTACCTTCTCAAGCAGATTTTACTTCTTTGACACAGCTATATTTGAAAATGGTATTTTTAAACAGCTTTATCGAGTATAATTGCCTACAATAAACTATACGTATTTAAAGTATATAATTTGATGTTTTGATATACGTATGTACCCATAAACACAGTCAAGATGATGAACATACCAGCACCTCTAAGTTTCCTAGTATGCTAGGAACCTGCCGATCTGCTTTATTATATCACTATGGTTTCCATTGTATAGAATTTTATATAAATGTCTAGCTCCTTTCATTCTGCATAATTATTTTGAGACTTATCTGTGTTGTTGCACATATCAGAAGTTCACTCCTCTTGTTGCTGACTAATATTCCATCATACGAGTAGCCCACGGTGTGATTTCACGGCTCTGCAAAGAAACCTTAGAGAAAAGGGGGCTCAATAGGAGACTCAACTCCTAACTGGTAAGAGATTATGGAGAAAACCAGTGTGAAATGAAGGCAAAAGGTGCAAGAAAATTATTAATAAAAGACAACTTCAGGAGAAAATAAAAACCTTCTAATACAAAACAAATGTAATTAAAGTGAACACTAGTAGCTCTGCAGTGAAAAATACTACACAGTCACATCATCAATGGGCCTTCAGAATCAAACTGTAGGCCTAAACGATGGCTGTAGAAGAAAGTAAATGCAAAAGCAGATGTAACCAAGATGGGAGAGGTAGGAGACAGGAGAGAGGCGAGAAGGGGAGGGTGGGGGTACTAAAGTCTTCATCTCAGAGGATGAGATGCTGCCCATTGTAAAGGGAACAAAAGAGACAGATGTTAGCATGTCCTTAAAGCTAGAAAGATTTCCAACAGCAAGACTAAAGACAGTGGCATTGTGAGGACCGGGAGGGGACGTGGCGTGTGCAAGCTTCTTGCTGTCCTGGGTACCTGATAGGTAAGATCTGC